CACACACACACACACACACACACACACGCACACCAAAAAAAAACCCGAAAAGGATGAGAATCCATAAACGATCCAGCCACATGGCTGCAACATGTGACGGCCCTCCCCCGCCTAACCCTGCCCACGCGCCTAACCCTGCCCACGTGACGCATCTTGTGTTTCCTTACCCACTCCATTCCGTCAATCGGTGGTTGATGTCATTATTATCTTACCTTGTCCTCGTAGATCATGCTCATGTTCCTTATCTTTCATCTTCCTCGTCATCTTCATCTGTCAACGTTGTCATGGTGGGGTGCTCTCTCTCTCTCCTCTCTCTCTCTCTCTCTCTCTCTCTCTCTCTCTCTCTCTCTCTCTCTCTCTCTCGTGCCTTCGTGCACGCCAAAAAGGAAGCATGACACTGCACGTAACACCATTGCACTTAGCACGAAGCACAGATCCCATGAACCAACCGTGGATGCATGTAGCACCGAAACCAAACCAAGCACGATCCAAGCACGGAGTAGCACGAATGCACCCAGTAGCACCAAGTACCATGAAAGTGGCACCGATGCACGAACAAACACGACCAAGCAGGAAGTACCAAGAACGAAGTACCACGCACTGAGAGAAGAAGGGAGAGGGAGAGAGAGAGAGAGGGAGAGAAAGAGGGAGAGAGAGATCCAGAGAGAGAGAGAGAGAGATCGTTACGGTAGTCAGGCCGTAGGCAGGTCACATGGGATCGCGTAGGCTGTAGGTAGGTCGCCTAGGTCGCTTATGTCGTCTAGGTGGGCGTAGGCAAGTCTGTAGGTCGCGTAGGCAAGCCCATAGGGCACGAAGTACCAAGAACGACATACCAAGCACTGAGAGAGAGAGGGAGAGAGCGGGCCACAGAGAGAGCGAGAGAGAGAGAGCTACAGTGGGCAGGCCGTAGGTGAGGGGTCGAGGAGGGCAGGCGGGAGGGCCCATTGGACATCAGTGCAGGGAAAGTGCCGCCCTGCAACGGCCAAAAATGGCCTGGCCCTCTACACAGGGCCCTACCGGTCGTCCAAAGATAGCACGGCGATCCAGGCCGATCCTGGCCCGACAGCCCTGATTGCCGCACACGCGTCCAGGCCGTCGGGCCAGTTGGTCCGCGGACGGCCCGTATGCCAAAACTCTCACATTAGCGATTTTAATAAGTGTAGGGAAATGAAGGCACCAACATCTGCAGCTGTTCCTGAAGACACCATTCCAGATGTCCGCCAGTGCAGTGTGCTGTGGCCTCCCACACTTGATCTGGGAGGCAACAGATATTGTCTTGGACAGGGTCCCGTCCGATTGGCCCTTTTGGGGCCTGCGATTGGACAAGAGGTCCTCAGCCATCATGAGAGCTGCAGGTGAGTGAGTTCTCCAGCAGAGATGTGGATATGTTGTTTGTTCTGAGTTCATTTGATTCAAGTTGTCATTATTTTCATTGTCGCATATTTGCTTGGCGGCAGTTCCGTATTGTCTCAGCTCGAGGCCTAGGTCCCACCATTTCGCCAGCAGGTTCGACACTGTGTAGGAACCCAGGGCACTAAATGTTGCCCTGGGCGAGTGAGGTAGGACCATGACCTCCTACCTGGGCCATCGGATGATGGCCTGATCTGACCGCCTAGGAGAGAGGCAGCTTAGAGCATCCGCTGGCACAAACTGGTCCTGTGTGTGGAGAGGTTGAGTCACTCCCAAGACACCACCAGGCCGCTGGAATGGTTGTGTAAGCAGCCTGCGACTGGAGTAGAGTAGGGCTGAGCAGTGGCAGGAGGAGGAGAGGCGTAGTGAAGTTCACTTACCAGGCACCATAGCTGGTCTTCTTCTTCAAGTCACCTGCAATACATCAGCAGCTCAAGGTTCTGCCTCTCACCAGAGTGTTCTCCAAGAGAGAGAGAGGAGGAGACTTCCATCCTTCTTCTTCCTCCTCTCCTCCTCGATCTCTCCTCCTCCTCCGCCGCCTTCTCCGCCTCCTCCTTCGTAAGAGGCACGGAGAGCGAGAGGGAGAGAGACTTGTCATTGATGTCTTCGGAGCCTAGCTCCCCAACTTAAGATTGTGAATTACGTTACGATCCTGGTCATTTCCCAAGTGCAAATTCACAATGAAAGACAATGCCACCCAATTGCGAAAGAAATGAAAGCACTTGCAAAGAAATAAAGACCAGAGGAGAGAGAAAGAAGAAGAAGAAGAAGAAGAAGAAGAAGAAGAAGAGGAAGAAGAAGTGCACCAGCAAGACCAATGACAATTCCCCCTTCTCTCTCCACCTTCCTCCTCCCTCACTTCACCAATCTTATTCTTCTCTCAATAATAATAATAACAATGAATGGATGAACCAGAATCAATATCCGAAGTTCCCTCTTACTGCTGACTCAACTCGACAACAACAACAACAACAACAACCAGTCCACCATAGCTATGGCTTCCCTCATTCAACCTCCTCTATCATGCATAGGCTATGGCGGACTAATGAGGGCCCTGCCCTCCTGTCCAAAGGACAACACAAAGCAGCTATGGTGCTGCGCTGATGTCCAAAGGACAACCCAAAGCAGCTATGCCGATGCTGACTGGTCCGCCATGCCTGACTCTGCCTCGAGCTTCCTTGGTGCAGCACTACCCCAACTGGGGCCTTCCAGAGGCAGCGCCCAACAAGGTGATGAAGATGGTGCCTACCATAGCCAGGTAAGTGCCCCGCCACTCTCCTACCACGCCCCCTTCTTCCTCCTCCTCAAGCAGGCTGAGCTCCAGCGGCCCTTCACCTCCAAGCAGCGCTGCACCAGTCCAGCGCTGCGCTCCAACAGCATGTCGCCAATCCTTGCACACCGCAAATGAGGAAGAGCTCTTTGCTCTTCCTGGAGATATAGCGGCCTACCGGCCTCCTGGGCGGTGACTTCCTAGGCTGAGCGGCCTCCCAGCAACCGGTACCACCTCCCTTTTAGAGGGAAACATCATTGCAGGCTCTGCTATCCTCCGCACAGGCCGTAGACCCGGGCTACTTGGACTGGTACCGGCCTACCGCTATCCTACCGCTACTGGGCCTCTAAAAATGCCAACTTTTTGTCTTCTTCTGCTCGGCC